GGATGTATTTGTTAACCGAATAGCTTCACATCATGAACTTCAGCAAAGTGAGGATCTGAGAACCTTCTTACAAGCAGATGAAGAGGTGGTGTTTCTAAAGTGATGCCTTGAGTCACAGTTATTCTCGTGTTACTACTATGAAAGTCAATACTCAATAACTTATCAGGCACCTGTGTCGGACTTCAGAATAGTTGACGTGTTTATATGCTTTTTTCAGACAATGGAGAGGTTAAGGTTTCATGAGACTGGTATCTTTAAGAAGCCAGCAGATTGGATGCAAATCTTCAAGGTAACATTGATTCTGCATGGTGTTTTTAAGACTTAACCGTTTCCCTGGATATTTCCTTTCCTAAAAAGGCATTTTTCATGAATTAGAAACGTTCAGTACCTTGTTCTGCTTATCATGGATGGATTTCTGGTTGGTATCTTTCCTTTTATATGATATGTATTCTGTAATGGGAAGATTGAAAGGTTAAATCCTCATATGCAGGTACTGGAAATCTGTAGAAAATTGTCACTATATTCAGTGTGAAAAATAGTGCACATTAGCAATTATTCTCAACCCTCTATTTTCATTATCAGGTTAATGATCTATGTTCTGGATTGTCAAGCCAAATAAAAAATGGAACACATATCACGTGGAAATAAATGTAGGAGAATATTCAATTGCAATTGTACAATTACTATTCTTGTTAATAGGTTGAAGTTTTCTGACGTCCTTCAAGTTTATTTTTCCTTCCTTTTCTTTGTTTGTTTAAATGGTTTTAGTGTCTTGTCAAGTGCAAGCATAAGGGGCAATCCTTTCCACTGCTTCGTGTCTTTTGCATTTAGAGTAAACTGCCGATTTGCCCCCTAAACTATTACCCAACCTTCGATTTCCCCCCTGAACTTTTTAATTGGAAAATTAAGGACTTAAACTAATTTTTTTGGCCAATTTCCCCCCTACTGATAGTTTTTAATAGATTTCATCTAAATTAACGTTAACTCTTATCATGTGCAAACCACGTAACTCTCATTTGTGAACAAAAGCGTTACTTCACTAGACATTCAGACACAAAAGCTATAGAATCACACATATTTGCATAGGTTTATATTTATAGAAATCTAAGGTTTTCAATTATTTTAAAGAATGAAGTGACCGAACTACCCACATATGTTGTGCACATGCTTCCATTTAACATAAATTTGGATGGAATGAATGAAAAATTAACAGCAGGGGCAAATTGGCCAAAAAATTAGTTTAAGTCCTTAATTTTCCAATTAAAAAGTTCAGGGGGGAAATCGAAAGTTGGGTGATAGTTCAGGGGGCAAATCGGCAGTTTACTCTTTGCATTTATTGTATTTATTGAACTGAATAGGCTACTTCAACTAGTAAGTAGCTTTCCTTTTTGAGAGTTTGTCTGGTTGAATAACGCGGCTTTGTATTTAACAGGATGTACAATCTAAAGTGAGTGATGTGGTTCTCGGAAAGGAAAAGCCGGTGGAAGAGTCAAATCCTGAATATGAGAAGTTGAAACACTACATTTTTGAGCTTGAAAACCACTTGGCTGAAGCCCAGAAGCATGCATACCGTCTTGTAAAGAGGCACAGAGGTAACAATGATTTGAAGGCTCGATGTTCTTTCTTTACCTTTTTCTTTTACTCTATTAGGGACTTTTCGGCTGCACTTCCTTATTCTGAATTCAGAATATGGTTAGAATGTGATTATTTATAACTATATTTATGCAGAACTGGGACAGTCTCTAGCAGATTTTGGGAAAGCAGCCAAGCTCCTAGGAGCTTGTGAAGGTAATGCTCTTGGAAAGGCCTTTACCGAGCTTGGGGCGAAGTCGGAGACATTATCAATTAAGCTGCAAAAGGAGGTAGGCTTTAATTGAGAATTCAGTATATCATTGGTGTTCCAGTGTCTATGGTGTGTTTGCTTGTTCTTCTTTGCATGCGTTCATTTTGTTTTCCATTTTGTTTAACAGCTAATCATGATATGTTATGGTATTACCATATCTTTTCGTCTCTTTGTAGGCCCAACAACTGTTAATGAATTTTGAAGAACCCTTGAAAGATTATGTACGTGCCGTGCAATCTATTAAGGTGAGAAGGGTTTGACTTGACACGTCTTTAGATTATACTCTTTACACTAGCATTCTTCTCTTTTGGCAATGGATATAACTTTAGCTTCTAAGTTCGTGGACACAAATTATTATTTGAATATTTATCCTTCCCATTCTGCATTAGACTTATGGAATTTGTTTCCTACCATTCTGGGTTAATATGTAATAGAAGCTCTTCCTGGAATTGTCCTCGGTCAAAGTTTTTTCCCATTCATTGTTTCCTTCTGGTAATCTTCATTTGTCATAAAAACTGATCCTTTTAAATATGTGTGTTGAAACAGGCCACAATAGCTGAGAGAGCAAATGCTTTCAGGCAACAGTGTGAACTTGCTGAAACAATTAAGTTGAAGGAGATAAATCTGTATGCATCTGACCAACTGTTTTATGTTTATCTGTGTGTCCGGATTTTCCGTTACGCTAGCCTCTTGTATACTGAAAACATAGACGAGTAGTAACTGTGATTATAGTTAGGTTTCCAGTTAATAAATATAAAATGGTACAAGGGAAAAAAAAAAATTGTGAAAATCATAGATGGGAACCATTTGATTCACAACTAATGTTGAATTTCACTCGCTAGTCGTGTTGCCTGTAATTTTTGATTGGCCAAATAAGTGTTGATTGGTTTGCAGTGACAAGCTCATGTTGACCAGATCAGACAGGGTGGGAGAAGCTGAGCACGAGTACAAGGAGGCAAGTCAGCTGATGCAATCGTATATGGTGTACACGTTAGGTGGCATCTTCATTATTTGACTAAGATTGGTTTTGTGATGCAGTTGAAGGCTGAGGGTGAGGAAGCAACCAGAAGATTTGAAACGATAGCGCGACTGATGAGTGAAGAGATAGTTCGCTTTCAGGAACAAAAAACAACAGACATGGGGTTTGCTTTCCATGAATTTGCCAAGGGACAGGCACGCCTGGCAAACAGTATTGCAGACGCTTGGCGAAGTCTTCTACCTAAGCTCGAATCTTGCTCCCCGGTTTAGTTGAGTGAATATAAAACCGGAGCAGTATACTTCATTTAGTTCGTATAGATGGCAGGGCAGCTCTTGCTTTGTAAAACCTTTGGACCCTCAGGATTTTGTCCTCTTATTCCGGTGTTGTACTTTGCAGACTATTAACTTTTTATTTTCATTTTTACTTATCACCTGTACAAATTCAGAGCTAATTGAAAAGATTTGCTATCTGCACTGTTATTTGCTAATGAGGATCCCGGGAATCCTCAAATCGTGTCCGTTTATCGTACATTGTGCAGTCAGAAATTATTTTAAATATTTTTATTTAAAATTAAATATAAATAATACTTGACGAAAATTGACCGTACGATATACGATGAACGGACAAGATTTGAGGATTCTTTAAGATCCTCACAAAGAGGATCCTTAAGATCCTCATTCGTTATTTGCAGGGGATGTGCGTACCTCACACGTAGGATTTATTCACACATTTTGATGTGCCTTCAAATGTTTAATTTTCTGAATTGTCCATTGAAATTAGAATTGTTGCAGACTTATTAGTTTCGGAGTGTGATTATGTAAATCCTATCATATCTGAGATACTTTTACGAGATTCTACCATATTTTTTAGACTAGATATTATCTTATTAGAGTTGTAATCATATTGAGGTAAGGAATTTACCTTTCCTATTACTATAAAGTCACAATGGGGTGGAATAACACATACCTCATAATTACATATCTATCTCTTTCTATCTATGGTTGATGCACACCCTCTCTGTTTTATAATTGTTCAGTAAATTATGCTTACAACACGTTATCAACATGTTTTTAATGCTGCGCTAATGAGAGTTTAATCTTCAATCATGAGAGTATTACGTTTTAATGAAATGAGAGTTTGTTCTGTTATTCCGGTGTTGTACTTGTGGATTATTAAATTTTTATTTTTCTTTTTTTACTTATTATGTGTACAAATTCAGAGTCCAGATCCTCTCCTACTCGTTGCTTGCAGGGGATGTGTATACCTCACACATGGGACTTAATTTTCTGAGTTGTCCATTGAAATTAGAATGGCAGCTGAATGAGTGGGAAGGATTTGTTTTTATTTATTTCTTTTGGGCTAACCTCAACATGGAAGTTTTCAAAATGGCTAACGAATTTTAATTTTCTCGCATTGCAACCTAACATTTTGAAATCGCATTGATTTGTCTCCCAGTTTTTTTGAATTTCTTTTGGGCTATCCTTATACTCCTTTGTTGAGAAATGAAAACGAAGAATTGTTATTAAAACTGGAAAATAATTAGTTAAGAGTTGTTTGATAACTATTTTTTGTTTTTAAAAACTGATAAAAAAATGAAAACTATTCTCTTGAGTTTTTGTAATTTGGTTTTTAGATTTTAGTTTTTGGTTTTAAAAAATGGAGTAGTTATCAAAAGAGGTTTTTTTTTTTTTCAGTTTTAAATTTTTTTTTAGTACATCAATATTTTTAAGGAAAACTAATGAAAAAAACTTGAAAACTTTGAGTTTTAACAATAAGGACAAAATAAGGGTAAAGTAAATAGTACTAGGATTGACTTTTTAGTGTAAAAATATGGTTTTTTTGTTAAAGTAAATAATACCGAGAGCTTTTCGTTAAAGTTCTCATATTTTTACTCTAGAGGAGGGGGAGGGAGAGTTTAGCTAACCCACATAATGAGCAATCTAAATTGGTATCGAATTCAATATTCATGTTAAAATCTCTCATTTCTAAGTAAAGACGAATACTAGCAGATCGTAGTACTGAAACGATGTACTTATGAAACGATTTTTTAGTTCTACATTAAAAAATGGCAAAATTTGTGGCGACGGTGGCCTACATTTGCTGATGTGGCATGAAAGGATTGAAGCTCGGTGGGGCGTTTCCCGCCAACCATTCCCGCCTCGTAAAAGGTGAACAAAGAAAGCAGCACGTCCACTAAATTCCGATTCCATCCTCCAACGAATCCCCTTCCCTCTTTCCCATCAATTCTAAAACTCAGCCATGGCCATTTCTGTCGCTGTGGCGGGAGGAGTTATGAGCTCACTCCGCCACCTCCACTTCCCACTTGTCAATTCCCACGTCTCACTCTCCCCTCCTCCTTCGGTGGCTGCTTCCTGTCCGCTAGTATTCACCAACTCCACTAGCTACGGCTTCTTTTCTAAGCTTAATTTGCACTCCGGCCGTCACTACCGCAACCAAAATCAAACGCCGGTGGCCAAGGCTTCGTCTCAGGAAAAGGACAGCCTTATTCCTTCCGACGACGCCGAAGACGGCGTCTTGCTCGGGACCATGAAATTGCCCTCGGATACCGATCTTCCCAGATTCCAAATCTTACTATTCCAGGTAACTCTATTTAATTATTAAAGTGCATACTCTAACAACATAGCTGGAATAGCTCAGTTGGTTAGAGCGTGTGGCTGTTAACCACAAGGTCGGAGGTTCGAACCCTCCTTCTAGCGTTTTTTTCCAATTTATTTTTTTTCCCATTTTTTCTTGCCTTAAACGCTGCGTTTGGTCTCAATGTAATAACCGCTGCGTTTCATATTTCTGTCCAATGTATTAAACGCTGCGTTTTGTTCAACAGTGGGCTAATAGTCTGTGCCAAGGAGCTAACCTGCCTCTTGATATGCCTTTGAAGGTACATAATATATTCTTTTTTCCTTTTATTTTAGGAATTGATTTTCCGAACATCCATTTTCAGCTTCTGCACATTTCTGTTTGTTTATGTTCTTCCATTTTCCTTTATTTTACTCAAAGTTTGAAATGGCAAACAGGCGTTCCGTTGGAAGCACTTTTATACGCGTTAGTTTATATTGCCTTAGCGACGTTGACTTTCATATTTAAGCTGCCAGTTGCATGGACGCATTGGAATATATTATGACAATGGCTTTGAGACCTAGCAATGGACTGAATATTTTCTTGTACATTGCGATGGAACAGGTGGACAAAATTGCAGGTGGGACTAGATTGGGTTTTGTTACAATTGGGAATGCGGAGGTTGAGGTCCCTGTGTACATAGACTGCTTGGTTTTTCCACCAAGTGACGGCTCCCGCCCAATTTTCCGAGCCGTCAGAAACGGACGCTTGAAGGACAAGACACCTCCTGGTGAGCCAAGGATCATGAGAAATCTTATGCAGGCCCTTCAGAAGTCGGTCCAGATCGCTAGACTGTAAACAAGTTTTCTATACATATATTTGTGTTGAGATTATGTGCACTTTCTTGTGTAATGCAAATGCTCTTACTTTTTTTAAGTCCAAGAAAAGAAAGTCCTTGTTTCTTGTTCATTTTTATGCTTAGTGATCAGATGCAAGCATTTGTTTTGCTTCTACAAAGTTCAATGCAGATTATGGTGATCTGGGATTTGTCCAGAAATAGACCGAATGTGTTTTTTTAGCTAGCTGACAGAAGACCTAAACGATTTTAACCTCCGAGTTTATATTCTTTCGATTTGTGTCCATTGTGCTGCTAGACTGCTGTTTTGTTGAATCTTCTGTGTTCAAACGAGGTACATTGTCTAGGAGCTTATTACGAGGTAATTGTTCTCTCAACTTTGTCTAAACCCTAAACCCTAGGAAACAAATTTGGTATCCAGTACTTTCCATGTTGGCAGTATCCTCAGCTATAAGCTACGATGCACGGACACGGACACGGATACGGAGATACGACACGATACGACACGAGGATACGTCAAATTTCTAAAAACAAGGACACGAATTTTTTTTCTCTTCTGATTATCCTCCGATTTTAGAGTGATTTCAGTTAGCTAACTTCGATCAATCACGATTCTGTGCGGATTTATTGTGATTATTTTTTATTTTTCTTCTGATTATCCTCCTATTTTCGTTTCGAATGTATCCAAAAAGTAGGATACTTGTATCTGGACAATACGATACGCGTATCTTCTCAGTCCTAAACGTATCCCTTCACTCCGATACGTATCGGACGTGTATCCACGACTATCCTCCGCGTATCCGTATCCTCAAAGTGTCCGATACGGGATACGGGGGCTTTCTCCCTTGTCCATGCATCGTAGGCTATAAGTTATTGTGAATCTGAAGCTGAAATTCCCACACTTTGTTTTGACCTTAAGTAAGTAATTGTCCCGAATTCTTGATCCGGGACTTGAGAGAAAATGGAGGAGCAAGAAAAAATGGAGGAGCAAGAACGGAAGGAAGTTTTGGTGATGAACAAGAAGACCGTTATGATCCAGTTGTTTTGTGGTCTGGCTATGGTGGTTCTGCTTGTTGGTTGTCTATGGTAAGGGTGTGTCCAGTTGAGAAAGGCCGGAGATAGGAATCCAAGGACTTTCCAACTGACAGCTCGAAGATATTTTCTGCTATGAGGATGGAGAACCAGGTTACCAGAACTTAGGCATTAGCTTTGGACTAAAATATGCTTTGTTCCAGGTTATTCTCTCTTCCTCTTTTTCTCTCAGGCAATATCTTCTTTCGTTGTTTGTTTTGAATCATGCCAATCGCAGGTTTTTGATCCTTCACACAGTAAAGGCATCATCAGATCCTTTGCGCGGTTGCAACTCCAACGGGCAGGTTTTTGATCTGGTGTCGCATATCACAGTACATCCCATCCTCTATGTATGTGATGCTTCTTTTATCCAATGTTCTGTTGGAATAAAATTCTTCTGTTACTATCGTGACAGCAGCTGAGCACATAAGCAAGAACCTTGTGCAGGATGCTCTAAAGTACAAGATGAGAGGAGGTCTTGCATCTGTTCACAAAATTGCTAACCAAGGTCCGGATTCCTTCACTGATAAACTATAGTTAACGGTTGGAGATCAGAGGTCTTGGTCCATGAATAAAAAATAGGTAGCAGATGTTTTTATTTTCTGTTTCCGGTCCATTTCTTGCTGCTATAGAGTTCCTAATTTCTTGTCCTCCCCATATAACGTGCAGAAGATGGATTCGTCATTAGTTGTAGACAATGGAAGTGCCACCATATTTTGCCACAACCTAAAGAAAACGAGCAACTAAATCCAGTTCTTCTAATGGATACTCCACCGAGAGTTACCGGCAGCCAACGGAGGGAAACGACTTAGTCATATTTGATCCATCCAGAAAAAAATGGCACTACCAAAGCTTTATATATCCGGAGGGCGGTCTCTCCTCGTGGCTCCTCAAACATCTTTCCTTGCTCATAAGCACATGAAGTTGCACCAACCAGGATTCCAGCGCGAAAGGGTAGTTGTGGAGGGTTTCGGGCATTCGGGTTTGTTGATTGGAGAGATTCTCACAAGACAGTTTTTCCTCACATTTTATCTCCCATACTATTAGCTGAAAACGGAAGGAGTGGGAAGGGAAAGAGGTTCAGAAAAGAGGCATTGGATTAGGAAGCTGATGGTCTGTATGAAGGATTTGGGGAGTTTGGAACATGGTTTCTCCTTCTGTGGTTGTTGTGGTGATGTTTATGTTGTTTCCTCTGCAACTATGGTTCTTTTAGGAGTTGTAAATCTAATCAATGTGTAACATAGAGAAATTTCTTCAAAAGCTACATACTATTGAATGATACGAGAGTGAATGAGATTGAAAATAGAATATCTAACGACTAAAACTCATATAACATTGAAGTCATGCCCTTAACTCAAATATGGGAGCTAAATATGAAGTTTCTTAAGGTCTGAATCTGGACACTAGATCTCCTCTCTTACCACCCAAGATACATGATGAGTTTATATGAAATGTTCCAAACCGATTTTGATTTTAAAAATTTCAATTCAAATAAAAAAACTAGTAAAAATAAAATTAAAAACCCATTTTCCTATTCAATCCCTCCTACTCGTAGCAACATGTTCTGACCAGTTTTTTTTTTTTTTTATGGGAACATGGAGAAATTTTTCGTTGTGCTGAAAATGATCCAGTACATAAAGTGTCGGTTATTCTTTTTAGGGAGATTTTGAATGCGGTCCCTAGCTATGAATATTCTTTGACTGAAACCTTGTTGATTTTTAATTTTTGGTCGAAGTCCCTAAAATTAATGTGATAAGTTATTTATATGTATGTTACTATATTTTTTTAAAATTAAAATTTGAAATTTATAGTTGTTTATATTAATGAGATTTTAAATAAAAAACCATAATTTGTGGGATTAAAAATTAACCAAAAAATTATTGTACCAAAATATGGAAGGAGTGGGAAGGGATGAAAATGTAGTAACATGGGTACATTCATCAAAATTAACCAAAAAATTATTGTACCAAAATATGGGTACATTCTTCAAAATCACCAAAAAAAAGAAAGATATTAGGCTTAATAACATTAGTAAATTTCTTCGATTAAACTTGACATGTATACATTCTCAAATAAAAAAAAAGAATATACCCGTATATGTTTAAAAATGGATTAGAAAAAAATTAAATAGATTATATATATAAAAAAATGGTACATTTTACATATAACAAATTGGTATATTTGAGAATGATTACATTTTAAAATAAAAAATTTGAAAAAATTACATGAATAGGAACATATAAGATTAAAAATTTGAAAACATTTTTTAAAAAAGCTAATGGGTACAAACTTATTCTAATTTATTTATTTATTTTGAAAATTTTTTGAATTGAAAATTAGTTAGGAGTTTAATAAATGTGTGAGTATTAAAATTCTAAATCAATTGTTAATTTTTATTTTAAAAAAATTATGTAACTGACATGAAAATTCATTATTTTATTAATGATAGGGACTTGGATTAAAATCTGAAAACTAATAAGGTTTCAGTTAATGAACATTAGTAATTAGGGATCAGATATTAATTTTTCTTTTTTTCTTTTTTTAAAAAAAACAATTCAATTAATTGTTTTGTTACATTTTGTATATTTCTACGAAAGTTTGCTAACTTGAATTTTTCTGTTGTTCTTTCTTTCGTTAACCTTATAAGACCATCTCTAAACCTGGGCTAAAAGCCAAATTACCCCCCTCCCCAAACACTCTCCAACCCATGTTAAAATTTTAGGCTAAATGCCAAATGTTATTTCTAGGCCAAATACCCCCCAGGTTTCCCGCCGGGCTAAATGCCAAATGTTTATCGGAATTTAAATTTTTTTAAATTAAAATGTTCATAAAATTAATTTACAATAATATACATATTTATATTTTTTTTTAAAATTAGCCGAAGTTCATTTTTTAATAATTTCGGGCTAAAATTTTATAGCATAAGGGTTAGATCAAAAAAGATATTTTTGGACTAAAAGCTAAAATTTTCAGGCTAAAAAATTTGGCTTTTAGCCTGAGGGTTGGAGATGGTCTAAGCGGCGCGGTAACTGCCACGGACGCAAATAACAGTTAACGGTCAAGAGAAAGAGAAGCACGTGGCAATAACCCATCAGCCTCATCCCTTCTTCTGTCTACGTCTTCCACCATGATGCTCATTCAGACCCTCCCAGAGATTCCTCTCTCCCCTCCTCTCCTCTCCTCTCCTCTCCTCTCACTCACCAAAACCCTCCTTCCTCTCTCTCTCTCTCTCTCTCTCTCTCTCTCTCTCTCTCTGCTATTTGGCTGATGAGATGAGCAGAGCATAGAAGCTTTACAAAAATGGCTTCTTTCTCTCTCAGCTCTCATCCTCCCCCTTCCTCCAAAGCCCTAATTCCCTCCTCCACCTCAGCCCATGGAATCCCTAGACCTCTCTCTCTGTCCAAATTCATCTCCCCGCGTCCCCAAATTTCCTGTTCTGCTTCCAAGGAATCCTCCCCCGCCGATAACACGCCAAGATAATCAAGAGCCCATCGGAAATTGCTTATCTAAAAAGCACTTTTACTAATAAGCGCTTTTACTATAGGCACGTTTATAATTTTATTAAAAATCCAAGTGCCTTTAATTTTTTAACTAAAAATTCAAGTGCTTTATGAAGAAGCATCAGGTGCATTTCTTCTCTGAAAAGCACTTCTATTAGCCAAAAGCATTTGGCCCTTTTGTCTGTCAGAAAGCGCTTTTAGCAATCCCAAGCTGAAAGTTGGTCCTTCGGTTTAGTTGACGAGAAAAATGCTGAATTTTCTGTGTTATGTTTAGTTTTCTCAGCACTTTTTGTATCATAGAAGGGCCGGAGACGGTGCAGGACTTTGTGCAGATGCAACTGCAGGAAATTCAGGACAACATAAGAAGCCGGCGCAACAAGATTTTTCTTCTCATGGAAGAGGTGAAAACAGATAACTCAAAGGGGTTTGATATCTGTTTGTTCTTTTAAGTTTCAGTAGCAAAGGAGATTGCGCCGGCTTCTTATGGTGCAGGACATCATAAGAAGCCGGTGCAACAAGATTTGATATATGGTGCAGGACAACATAAGGGGATTGTCAACTTCTTTGTTTGATATATGTTTGGTTTGTGTAGCTAAGGAGATTGCGGGTGCAGCACCGGATAAGGATGGCGAAGGATATGGATGCGGCTTGTGAGGAAGAGTCAAATGAGATGCCTGACATTCCATCCACTATCCCTTTTCTCCCTCATATTGTGAGTTTAATCGTTAACCGCCTTAAGTTTGCCCCTTATCGACATCCTCAAACAAGTTGGGAAATTTGGATACAAATCTAACCTTATATTTCAAGAGGGGGCATGCAGGTTGAAAACGATAATTGACAACGAATTGTGATCCATGATTGACGAGATGGTTACGTTTCTTTGTTTAGCTCTTGCTAAGTCCGTTTCTTCTACCAACAGTCACCGCCTAATACCGAATTAAATGTCCGACTAAAGCAAGTGCTCTTATGTCAAAAGTTTCATGTCTTGTGATATTTTTATTGTGAATTCTGTGGTTGTGCAAGCGCTTTACCTTTTATTTTCAGCTGACATTTTGTGATTTGTGTTATGATGTAGACACCAAAGACGTTGAAGCAGGTCTACCTTACAAGTTTATCAGTGATATCTACTGTCATTGTATTTGGAGGTCTCATTGCACCATCGGTAAGTCTGTAAGCATAGATGATTGTTTATAGTGAATATTTCCTGATGTCTACATACATGTATAATTTTGTAAAGCTGGATTCTCAATTTCTTTACCCTTTACTGCTTATATGTTTACTGACCCTTGTAGCAAGATGGTACATGTTCCTCTGTATTAAGAGGAGGTCTTCGGTTGAAGTCATAACGGAATAGGAGGAACCGTAGTTTTGACATACATGTTTTGTGCCTATTGGTTAGACTTAAAAATTCTTCACTGTTATGTGTTAAATGTCTCAGCCTGTTCTCTGTGACAGCTGGAACTAAAATTAGGCATAGGAGGTACCTCGTATGAAGATTTCATTCGCAGCATGCATCTGCCTTTACAATTAAGGTATATACTGGACATGAGCGGTAGGTCTCGGGTTCGAGACTTGGGAGCAGCCTCTCCATAAATTGGGGTAAATGCTAGCCGACATTCACCTCTCCCAGACCCTGCGTAAAGCGGGAGCCTTGTGCACTGGGTACGACCTTTTTTACTATTAGAAATTCAAGCAACCAGTACGGATTTTCTTACTTACTGTTCTGAAATCCCTTTTGTTTTCTGAATTCAGTCAGGTTGATCCTATTGTGGCATCCTTCTCCGGTGGGGCAGTGGGTGTCATTTCAGCATTGATGTTGATTGAAGCTAACAATGTTGAGCAACAAGAGAAGAAAAGGTGCAAATATTGCCGTGGAACTGGTATGTTTTAAACTTTCACAAATGCAAGTGTGCCAACTGATAAAGTTCTTTGGGGAAAAGTGGATCATTTGTTGGGTTGTTTTTAAATTTTCTTGCATTTAGTTTTCTATGAAGTTTGCTTACGCTGGTAAGTTTATGAAAATAATAAGTAAAAAATGGCTTAGGTTCTGGCTCTTACAGCGCTATTAGTTTCTTCGATGTTATGGAAGTTCTTCCTCGCCTTTCTCATCCCTAGAATTCTTTTCAACTTTGTTACTTTTCTTATGTTTTTTTTACCCTTCTTTAATTTCTCCTCATAAATGTTATTTCTAATGTTTTATTGTTCTCATACTTTTGTTTTAATCTGGTAATTTTGTTTGGTATTACATGGACAGGGTACTTGGCCTGTGCTAGATGTTCTGCAAGTGGTGTGTGCTTGAACATCAATCCTATATCAGCATCTAGTGCAACGGACCGCCCTTTGCGAGTGCCCACAACTGAGGTGCCCAAATTGCTCTGGTGCTGGAAAGGTACAAAATTTGTCGCTAAGTGGTTTATTCATGAGAAATGATTTGGCATGTCGAATTTGTTGGCACTGCAATTTATCACACATATATCTTTGTGTTGTCCATCATTTGTCTTGTGGTACACTTGCTTCAAAACTTTCCACACATTCATCGTATCATGTTTGCCGATGGTTTACTCATGCTAGGCTTAAAAGGAAGAAAGAACTATAATGAGATTTACGATGATTTGTCATACTTCCGAAAGGAATTTAGTGCAAGGCCTTAATTCCATTTGTTTCTTTTGATAAGAGATTTGCAGTTTGTGTTCTTCATGCACTGTAATTCCAAGCTCGCTCTCTCTCTCTCTCTCTCTCTCTCTCTCTCTCTCTCTCTCTCTCTCTCTCTCTCTCTCTCTCTCTCTCTCTCTCTCTCTCTCTCTCTACTAGGACTAATCACCTTCCATCATCACTGGGATGATGATGGCAAGCGAGCAAGACCCGCGGATTGATCCATTTGACTAAAGCAAACCAGATGAAAAACTTAGCGGTGTTATCTCCTCGTCGATGCAGCTTGGGAATAACTTAGCGGTGTGTAACTTGTGCCAAAATGTTGGCTTGACTGCAAGATTACTTCACGTAAACTAGGAATCATCACAAATTTAAGTTCTCTGTTTGATGAAATGTGTTGCAACTTACCGTGGACGATTGGGAACTTGGTTGTGAAGAAATGCTAATTTAGTTGAATTTGTTGCTTTTTGTTGACGTCAAAGTAGAGAAATATTCTTATGAGCAATTTAGATGCAAAACCTGTTAGTATTAGGTCGGGAAGGCAAATTAACCTATTGTGTAATCATTAAGACTTATTTAGTTTGATTTTACTTTACACTATCATCACTACGAATCTCACATCTATGTTATGATAATATCCAATTAAACGGTCCTTAACAGTTAGCTATTGATAATCCAATGTGTTGATTTGTCATCTCTAGTATCAGCTAATAGCTATTCACGTCCGAGAGCTATGATTGGGGAATTCATCGAGAAGCATGCCTCGTGCGGCAGCTCTCTCACAAAGAGTCGGGGATGCATGTAGGTCCTACAATTGGGGCCTACTCCCCGCTTCATGTGAAGGACTGCCGTTTCCGCCGGAAGCTAGTAGTTATACAGAGGCTATAGAGATGATGTAAGAACCACTGTATGACTAACACCAACGGGACAGTTTGGCCGAGTGGTCTAAGGCGCCAGATTTAGGCTCTGGTCCGAAAGGGCGTGGGTTCAAATCCCACAGCTGTCAAATTTATCATTATTTTTAATCTTGTGTTTTTTTCTTTGAACACTTTCCGTCGATATTCTCGCGGAAAAGTAGTAACGACGTCGGAGAGCTCATAATTTAGTCCCTTTCCTCCAACACAGGCGGAGTAGTTGACAGTTTTCGCCGTCCCCATGGCTCGGATCCTCAGAAACAAACCGGGTCTTCTCTACCCTCAAATTTATTCAGATGCTTTATTAATCATTCAAACGCCTTCTCTACCCTCAAATTGCTTCACTCAAGCAAGAGCCTTGGATTCAGTATCTTTACATTGTTAAACGTTAATCAGAGTCCAGTTTAGTTGCATAGCGGAATTACAAAATTATCCTATGCATGATCATCATCGTATTTCGAATTTCTTGATGCAATAAATCTGGTTCTTCATTTAAGGTGGCTCATGAATCATTTGCTTGAACTCGGGTTCTCGAAATCATCGTCACAATGGATAGGCAGCAACCTCAAGAAACACGGAGATCATTTGACATGGGCGTTCAATCTTGACGTTGCTGTCCAGATGTTCAATTCTTTCCAGTGTATACCTGATTACTTTCGAGACTAATTTGAAGTAGAAAACAATGAAAATCTGTTTCCTTCCCTCTTACCTCTTTATCTTCTATGAATGTAAAACATTGCAGGGAAAATTGTTATTGGCCTCTGTTGGAGCACCCCCCGCAAGATATGGAGATAGCTGTTGTGCGCGCTGAGGACAGTAATCGTTGGGACCAAGATGCGATTCAACAACTCGAAAACCTTGCCACTCGCGAAGCAGATGGATCGGAGGGGAAGGTTTCAGCTCATGTTCTTCCCAAGTCCGGCCATTGGGTTCACGTCGACAATCCAAAAGGTCTCCTTGAGATTGTGGCACCTAAGCTTTCATCCCTTCGGCCTTAAACCGTATCGGGTTTAATTTATCTGCCACAGAAGATATGTTGTGCAGATATCATTGGTAATTCTTAGTGTTTCAATTGTTCACTTGTAATAAATCATTTGTGTCTCATTTGGGCTTCTCTGTTCTGGTTTTTGGATATCATCTGGACCTACATTATAAAATTGTATCAGTTGTTGGTTGAAGATGGCAAATTGGCAATGCTATTGATCCATTTTTCATTTTTTAGTGTGACATGTTGTGTAGTGTTACTAATTTACGGGTAATAGTATGGTTGTAGATGCTTACAATTACGAGTGGCAATTCATGGCCACGAGCTGTTAGCGTTGGCACAAACGCGACACATAATAGTCAGGTCATGTTTTCGAAACTCGAACACGATACAATTATTAAGGGTGTTACACGATAATGACGTTGTTTAATATTCCTTAGTACAAAATTTTAATATATTAATTTGTTGTTCCACATTCAATTTAAAGAGCATCTCGAATAGGAGATGCAAAATGCCAAATCTATATTTTTCATGTAAATACACTCTTTTATTTATATTTTTCTACGAAGATAATAATTTACATTTCTTGGTCTCCCAGACCCTGCGTAAAGCGGGAGCCTTGTGCACTGGGTACGACTTTTTTTTTTTTTAACCTTTGAATCGAATAAATCGAATAAAAATAATAAAAAATTTAATAAAAATATGTGTGAAATAAAAAAAGGTATGCCACCTACATGATTTTTTTTTTTTTAAAAAACGATAATATCTACACGAAGAAATGATGGAATGTGTTAAGCTTACAATTACATTGTTATAATAATATGATTTAACTTTACCCTTGACGATAATCAAATATGAGATATTCCACTTGTAACTAAAAAAGAATATTACTAAAGTGCAGTAGCCAATAGCCAGCATGAAATTACAATTTGCATTTTCCATTTTCCATTTTCGTTGGTGCGGAGGATGTAAAAGATGTAAATAAACCCTAGCGTTTCTTTCTTCCCCCTGTTTCTTGTCTCTGTAAAACAGCTGCAGACACATCCAAAACCCTTTCAAGAAACCCTAGCAATTGGCCATGGGCGTCGCCCTGGACTCTTCCGTCGACCCTCCTGGCAACGACAAGCAACGGTACTCTCTCTCTTAAACTGGTAACTGGTTTCAGTTCAGGGTTTGGGGTTTTAGTTGGATTCCAATTTTCGATTTTTCATTTCATTTTTCGAATTAGGTTTACAAATGCAAGGCAAGCTCCTCAGTCAGCCATTGATATGGAATTCCTCGCCGCTCCTATCAAATCCGCCAAGGACAAATTCGCGCTCGTCCCGGAATTTCTGAAGGTTTCAACTTTAAACTACTATTACCATCCACGTATTCATTTAAATTTTAATTAAAAAGTTGCTACCCTGCTTGTTGTTCTTGTCATCATTGCTACTGTTGTTGTTTTTAGTATTTTTGATTCGTTGGAATTTAAGAAAGATGGAATTTTTATTGTACTGTAGGTGAGGGGGTTGGTAAAGCAGCACTTAGACTCGTTTAATTACTTTGTGAACACGGGAATCAAGAAAATTGTTCGTGCCAATAATCGGATTGAGTCGGAGATCGATCCAACTATTTATCTCGAGTTCAAAGATATCTATGTCGATAAGGCCTCGGTGATGTCAATGGGTAAAACTGATGATATTTCTCCCAATACATGCCGCTTATCTGATATGACGTATGCTGCACCGATAAAGGTTGATATAGTGTACATTCGAGGAAGTCATGATCGGAAGGAGAAAGTTGAGAGGAAAGGTGTGACTATTGGGAGAATGCCTATTATGTTACAGAGTTGCTGCTGTACTCTACTGGGGAAAAATGAAGCCGAGCTTGCAAAACTGGGCGAGTGCCCCCTGGATCCTGGAGGATATTTTATCATCAAAGGGAATGAGAAGGTGCTTTTGATGCAGGAACAACTCTCAAAAAACAGGATTATCATTGATATGGACAAGAAAGGGAACTTTAATGCATCTGTTACAAGCAGCTCAGAGAGAATCAAAAGTAAAACCGTTATTCAGATGGAAAATCAGAGGATCTATTTGATACTTAACCAATTTGCCAAGAAGATTCCTATTATGGTGGTCATGAAGGCTTTGGGAATGACGGGTGATCAAGAAGTTGTGCAGATGGTTGGTAGAGATCCGCGGTATGGTGCCTTGCTAATGCCATCTTTGGAGGATTGTGCAAAGGAAGGTATATACACACAAGAGCAAGCCTTGGACTACCTTGAGTCAAAGCTGAAGCGGTTTAATTTTTCTGGTTCTTCATCCGAGAAGGATAGTGCTAGAGTGATGAAACTTCTTCGAGATGTGTTTCTTGCAAATGTTATGTGTCAGAATGATTTTCGTCCTAAATGTGTATATGTTGCTGTAATGTTGAGACGCATAATGGATGCAGTTTTAAATAAAGATGCAATGGATGACAAGGATTATGTTGGTAACAAGCGGATTGAGTTGTCTGGTCAGTTAATCTCTCTTCTATTTGAGGATCTGTTCAAGACGATGATTACTGATATTAAAAAGATAGGAGACAATATATTATCAAAGCGTAGCAGGAGTAGCGCTTTTGACTTTGCACAGCAGCTTACGAGTGATAGAATTACAAATGGGCTAGAAAGGACCTTATCCACCGGAAACTTCAACATAAAACGGTTCAAAATGGACAGTAAAGGTATGTCACAGGTCCTATTTAGGTTATCCTACATAGGGTGTCTGGGCCATATGACCAGAGTCAAGCCACAATTTGAGAAGACACGAAAAGTAAGTGGACCTAGAGCCTTGCAACCTAGCCAGTGGGGAATGCTTTGCCCTTGTGACACTCCAGAAGGTGAGCAATGTGGACTGGTTAAAAACTTGTCTTTGATGGCTCATGTGACAACTGATGAAGAGGAGGGCCCATTAATGTCTCTGTGCAAGTGTTTGGGTATTGAAGGCCTGGAAATACTATCAGCCGAGGAGGTTCACTCACCATATTCTTTTCTGGTTTTCTTCAATGGAAACATCCTTGGAAAGCATAAGAAGCCACATCACTTTGCCAATGCATTGAGAAAGTTGCGTAGAGCTGGAAAGATTGGGGAGTTTGTAAGTGTCTTCGTCAATGAGAAACAGCGTAGTGTTTACATTGCCTCTGATGGTGGTCGAGTTTGTCGTCCACTAGTTATTGCTGACAAGGGCGTACCAAGGGTCAAAGAACATCATATGCAGGAGTTGAAGGATGGAGTACGCACTTTTAATGATTTTTTAACTGATGGGCTGATTGAGTATCTTGATGTTAATGAGGAGAACAATGCTCTGATTGCTCTATATGAAAATGAGGCGACAACAGAAACAACCCATATTGAAATAGAGCCTTTCACCATCTTAGGTGTTATTGCTGGGCTAATTCCATATCCTCATCACAATCAGTCGCCTAGAAATACGTACCAGTGTGCTATGGGAAAGCAAGCAATGGGAAATATTGCTTATAATCAGCTACAAAGAATGGACATGCTTTACCTTCTGGTGTATCCTCAACGGCCATTATTGACAACGAAGACAATTGAGTTGGTGGGCTTTGATAAACTTGGAGCCGGGCAAAATGCAACTGTTGCTGTGATGAGCTATAGTGGCTATGACATAGAGGATGCAATAGTCATGAACAAGGCATCTCTGGATCGTGGTTTTGGTCGCTGTATTCTAATGAAAAAATTTTCTGGCACGCTTCAAAAATATGAAAATGATGCACGCGACAGAATAGCAAGGCCCTATAGGGATGGAACTGATGCTGGAAGGATGCGGGCGCTGGACAATGATGGACTTGCTGCACCTGGAGAAATTATTAGAAATAATGACATTCTAATGAATAAACAGGTTCCTCAAGTGACGAGGGGGCCGCAGATTTCCCCAAGCCAACTAAATATTCCATATGGAAATGCTCCAGTGTCTTACAAGGGACCTCATGGAGAATCTTGTGTGGTTGACAAAGTGACCCTCTCTTCTGATAAACATAATAATTTATGTTCCAAGTTCTTAATTCGCCATACTCGTAGACCAGAAGTTGGTGACAAGTTCAGTAGCAGACATGGGCAGAAAGGTGTTTGTGGTACCATTGTCCAGCAGGAAGATTTCCCTTTTTCAGAACGTGGCATTTGCCCTGATTTAATTATGAACCCTCATGGGTTTCCAAGTCGAATGACTGTAGGCAAGATGATAGAACTTCTTGGGAGCAAAGCAGGAGTGTCATGTGGCAGGTTTCATTATGGCAGTGCCTTTGGTGAACCAAGTGGTCATGCAGACAAGGTTGAAGATATAAGTGAAACGCTTGTGAGGATGGGGTTTAGCTACGACGGCAAGGACTTGATTTACTCAGGTATCACAGGCTGCCCTTTACAGGCATATATATTCATGGGACCAATTTACTACCAGAAGTTAAAGCATATGGTTCTAGATAAAATGCATGCACGGGGTAGTGGTCCTCGAGTCAGTCTAACTAGGCAACCTACCGAGGGAAAAGCCCGTAATGGAGGACTACGAGTTGGAGAAATGGAGCGTGATTGTTTGATTGCTTATGGTGCTAGTATGCTGCTTTATGAGCGCCTGATGCTGTCGAGTGATCCTTTTGAAGTTCATGTTTGCAAAGAGTGTGGTTTGTTGGGATATTACAGCCATAAGCTGAAAACTGGAATTTGTTCCTCGTGCAAAACTGGGGATAAAATGTATACTGCAAAGATGCCGTATGCTTGCAAGCTCTTGATTCAAGAACTCCAGTCGATGAACATTGTTCCTCGCATAAAACCGGAAGAGCTTGAAAAGGAATGAAGTTATAGGTTATGGCTTCTCTTGACACCGCGGAGTCTGCAACGTACAAACTGCCAGTCAATCTTGCAGAACTTCCTTGGACACTTATTCGAAGGTGATGGATTTTTTTATTTTTTTTTGTTAGCATATCCATTGCAAAGGAAGAACCAACATTTCAGTATTATTTTTGTTAATTTCTTTTGTGATATTATCATCGTATCAAATAAAAACAACATGAAGTATACAGGGTATAGAGAAGTCATCCATTTCATTGTTTAAAACTATTCATGTACTCGACGACTGTGCATGTGCACCAAAGTATTCTTTCACATTACTCGTCATGGAGATGGGCATTTCCGAGGATTTATGATAGATAAATGACTAGTTCCGTGATCATCGACCTGACTCCACCTGTTAGGAAACAAAGAGTCCTTATCGGCTGGCGACCGCCAAATTAATCTCTATGGGTTTAAAAAATATTATGAAGGCCTGTCTAGGCGCCTGGCTAGACCAGCTTAATTCTTGACTTTCACTTAAACAGAAAATAGATAATTTTCATGTCTTTTCATCACTTCCATTGCCGAAAGGGATGTGCTATCCACACATTCCATTTTACTTCTCACACATCCCTTGATGATTTATGTCCATTGATTTTCTTCAATTCATCTGATCCGACGGCCGAAAATTAAAAATGTGTGTGAGAAGTAAAATGAGGTGTGTGGATATCACATTCCTGCCGAAATTGGTAAGGGCAATCATGTCATTTAAATAGCCCAGTGTGAGTACTTTAAAAAGGGCAATAAGGTCATTTTAGTACCCCCAAATCAAAGCCTTAGCTATAAAACTTAGCGACTAATTTACACCGGCGGGGTTTTCTAGAAGCTCCGAGAGCCTGCCTGAGCGTCGTCGTCGTTCTGAATAATCTGAGACGTCTAACCAAATCATTTACTCGCAGCCATGGTAACCCTCCCCCTCTCTCTCTCTCTCTCTCTCTCTCTCTCTCTTCTGTGTTTTTAGGCCGTTTACAGTCTGTGGTTGCCGAGAAATTGAAAGTAAAATATGATCAGAAAATACTCATTTTTCCCTCCAAATTTTCTTGCCAACCAAACACATTACGAATTATCGATTGAAGGCCAAGGTAGTTCCGTGATCATCGACCTACCCCCACTTGTTAGGAAACAGACTCATTATTGGTTGGCTACCGCCAAAATTAATCTTTAGGCGTTAAATAAAAATTATGAAGGCCTGAACCTGTTTAGGCGTCCGGCTAGACCCGTCTAGTTCTCGACTTTTACTTAAACAGAAAATAGATAATTTTTATGTCTTTTCATCACTCCCGTTGCCGAAATTGGTAACTAGTGTACTTTTAAAAGGGCAATCATGTCATTCACCACTCGCTTGCGAATTCTGTAAAAAGGGCAATGAAGTCATTTAAATAGCCCAGTGTGAGTACTTTAAAAATGGCAATAAGGTCATTTTAGTACCCCAAAGCAAAACCCTAGCTATAAAACTTCGCGACTGATTTACGCCGGCGGGGTTTTCTGGAAGCTCTGAGAGCCTGTCTGAGCGTTGTCGTCGTTCTAAATAATCTGAGACGTCTAACCAAATCATTTACTCGCAGCCATGGTAACCCTCCCTCTCTCTCTCTTTCTTCTGTGTTTTTAGGCAGTTTACATTCTGTGGTTGCCGAGTAATTGAAAGTAAAATATGATCAGAAAATACTCATTTTTTCCCTCCAAATTTTCTCGCCAACCAAACACATTACGAATTATCGATTGGAGTAGACTAACATTGTTTGGATTTGTAGATTTATTGAAAATATTGAGCTGCTGTTTTATAATTTTATTTGGTGTTGATTATATCTTTTTATTTGAATTTTTCGATTGGTTTAGTCGAGGAAGAAGACCAGGGAGCCCAAGGAGTATAATGTTACTCTTGGACCTGTTCTCCGTGACGGATGTAGAATTATCAGAGAGACGGGCCATACGGTCCACTTCTAACAACACCGATATTGTCCCCAACTTGGTAATTACCACCCGCACAATCCGTCAGGTATGGGATTTTATTACAAAAGATATCGGTTTTAGTTAAAGTGGGGCTAGGATATTTAAACTATTACTTTTCTTTTTGTATGGCCGATGTGGGATTCAACACACCTCTTCACATGGGACCCAATTAGTGGGTCACACGTGAGAGATTCACACATCGGCAACCACGTAGAGCTAAGGGGACTCACCCTACACGCGGGCCAAGGGACCCACCATCATCGTGCGGGGCCAAGGGGACCCACTATCACATGGCAGTACAATACAGGCCCACTTCCTGGCTCTGATACCATGTAGAATTATCAGAGAGACGGGCCATACGGCCCACCTCCAACAACACCGATATTGTCCCCAACTTGGTAATTATCATCTGCACAATCCGTCAGGTGTGGGGTTTTATCACAAAATGTCTCGATTTTAGTTAGAGTGGGGTTATGATATTTAAACTATTACTTTTCTTTTTATATGGTCGATGTGGGATTCAACAACGGAGAACATGCCTTCGGTGTTGCTCATATTTTTGCCTCATTTAATGATACCTTCATTGTAAGTGCCATATTTTTATCTTTTCGAATGTAATTTACCATTTTCATTTGTAGTTGAATTTATATGCGAAATTATTGCTTTCTAATTGCAGCATGTGACTGACTTGTCCGGTAGGGAGACTCTTGTGCGCATCACCGGTATGTTTTTCGACATCTCTCAGTTGTTACTTGAAATAGTTTTCGGTATTTTTTGATTTGCAACTGCATGGTTGGATGCGCTCCACAGTAAATGCGGATATTTGTAGTTGATTGTAAAGCTATGTTACGGAAGCTTAGTGATGTTAATGTATGATGGCGCATTGGCGCTCTTCTTAAACCGTTCCCCTTCCATAATTGTGATGAATAGAAGTGACCGTTTCTTGATGCTTCGGTTCTGTTGTGGACTCTTGGCATTATTGTCCTGTCATACTCTGTTGGAAGATGATTTTCTTTTGATTATTCCACTGCTGTTGCCATCATTACCCATTTTTTCCCCAATTTCAGGTGGTATGAAGGTGAAAGCTGATAGGGATGAATCATCGCCTTATGCAGCTATGCTTGCCGCTCAGGATGTTTCTCAACGCTGCAAGGTTTACCAGCCCTTTTATTTAAATGATTTTTATTTCAGACCGAGTTATATGATTTACATCCGTCTTTGGCTTCTATTTCTGAGTTGTAATAATAGAATTAATTTGTTTTGGTGACTGATATCGTAGGAGCTTGGCATTACTGCTCTACATATAAAGCTCCGGGCTACTGGAGGGAACAAGACCAAGACTCCTGGTCCAGGCACCCAATCAGCACTCAGAGCCCTTGCTCGTTCTGGCATGAGAATTGGTCGCATTGGTAATCTCCTTTGCCCTTTCACCTCTCTGTGGTCTTGATAAATTTACAATGCATCAACATCCTTTTTCATTTACTCCCACTCTCATATTAAATGTGTGTTGTTCCACTCGTGATACCTAGACAGTTTAGACTTGGGGAGTGATGTTTGGTGATTATGGAACTTCGTTTCCTTCAAGTTAAATATTTTTGGTTGTTTTCTTATAAAAAAAGAGTATTCGGGTGGTTGTTTGTAACGTTCAGTCCTGAGAACAGTTATTTTGCAGTTCTTGATATTTTTTTTTCTTTTTCTGTTTTGACAGAGGATGCGACTCCAATTCCCACCGACAGCACTCGTAGAAAGGGTGGTAGAAGGGGAAGAAGGTTGTGATTTCTTACTCGCCTTCAATTGTGTGGTTTTCTGCTGCTGCGGTGGTTTGGGAGATATTATGATTTTGGATCAAAATTTTATCATCAGCCATTCCATCAACCCAGACGTAGTTTTGAACCTCGTAGAAAGGTGTAGGGATGTTTCGCCTTTCCAATTAGTTGGAGAGTAAGATCTTGAATATGGGTAACTTCGCTTGTTTTGCCTACAGAGTCAAGGTTGAATACACACACACACACACACACTTGCATATGAGAAGTGATGCAAAGGTCATCCCTACGTTTGTGTGCCTATTTTTTTTTTGGAGTGTGCTATCCACACATCCCTTTTTACTTCTCACACACCCCTTGTTAATTTTTGTCCGTTGATCTTCTTCAATTCATCCGATCCGACGACCGAAAATTAAAAAGGAGTGGGAGAAGTAAAAAGGGGTGTGTGGATATCACACCCATTTTTTTTTACTTTGATGCATAGCAATAATAATCCAAAGCTCCTGAATAATGAGTTATAAACATATTAATAAATGATGCTGGAATGCTGTGATAAATCTTAAATTATGTATCTAATTTAATATTATTTAATTTAAGATATGCAATAGGTTTACCTTATTTATATATATTGCTTTACGAAGCTTCAGAATATGGTAAAAAACATTGGGTAGATAAGGATACAACTGTTGTCTTCTCTTCCTTGTTCTTCATTGATTGCATCACAAAATTATAAACGAAATGTATCCATATCATAATTATGTGAATGCAATTAATGAAGATAGAGGAGAATATGCATATTCATAAAAGAGATAAATGCATCTACCATCGTTTGTTAATATCTTCGTCATTTATTATACAGGAGACTTGAATCATTATTACAATACATAAAATGTCAAAAAGGTGGCACGGAAACTTAAGATGACCTTTGCATCACTATTCATGTGTAAGTATACTTATTTATTCAATTTTGTCTCTATAGACGAAACAAGAACATTTACCTACATTCAAGATCTTACCCTCCAACTAAATATCATGATTTCTTGCAAAATATATATTTAAGAAGGATGCAACGATTGAGGAGGAGCATTCCCTCTTTATGATACGATTTCCTATATTTTGAGATATGGAGATAGTTTTACGATTTTATGCAATTACATTCCAACTATACAAAAATCAAACCATGATATAATTTTCCAGACTAGGGTTCATATATGAATAATCATAATATTGGAAATCATAATATTGTATCTCTTCAGTGCTGCGGGGAGAAGAGGAGGGAGAAAGGGTATAAGAAAGGTTCTTTTTTATAATAAAAAATAGGAAATCATAATATTGGATAATGACATGTGGCACTATATGAATAATCGAGAATTTTATAAAAAATCTGAATGGATATTTCTAATGGATAATAACACATGACACTATATAAATGAGCGAGAATTTGAACAAAAATCTACGATGATAATGATACGTGGACACATGGCATTATATAAATGATTGAGAATCTTATAAAAAATATGAGTGGATATTACTAATGGATAACGACACATGACACTATATAAATGGTTGAGAATTTTAACGAAAATCTACGACGATAATGATACGTAGAGGATAAGAGGAAGAAAACATTAAAACTATTATATAGGGCCCAAATAGCCACACTTTTTAACAAGAGGCCCAATTACATCGGGTCATTCCGGGTCAAGCCTTGGCCCCAAGCGAGAAGCCCCAAGAAATGAAACCCTAGAAGCTGATTATAAAACCCTAACGAAGCCATTTCCGCCTCTCACAGAGACACAGCCAAAGGAACCTAAAGATGCAGATTTTCGTGAAAACCCTAACCGGGAAGACCATCACTCTTGAGGTCGAGAGCAGCGATACCATCGACAATGTCAAGGCCAAGATCCAGGACAAGGAGGGCATTCCGCCGGACCAGCAGCGCCTCATCTTCGCCGGAAAGCAGCTCGAAGACGGCCGCACCCTGGCTGACTACAACATCCAGAAAGGTCGGTCTTTTTTTTCTTAGGGTTTTAAATTTTGGGGATTTTTCAGTTGATTGTATTTCATTGCGGAGTCTGATTCGAATTGATTGCTCTGTTTTGATTCAGAGTCGACTCTTCATCTCGTGCTGAGGCTCCGCGGAGGGATTATCGAGCCTTCTCTCATGGCTTTGGCTCGCAAGTACAATCAGGAGAAGATGATTTGCAGAAAGTAATTATCTTTTTTTCTCCTTGATGTGTGAATGTTTTCTTTTTGTTCTAATTTGTTGTTAATTTAGTGGTTAATTTAGTGGGACAATTACTTAGCCTCCATTTCAGATAGAATGCAATTGAGGTTATACTTGTCCCGACATAAATTTCCATTCTCTTAACTTTGTCAGCTGGGCTTAATTATTTTCAGTTGATTTTCTTGAGTGGAACATTGATTAATTGCTGTTATGTTTGTATAGCATTTGTTATGTAAAAACACTTGCTTAATGTTGCTTCTAGACCCTAATTTAAGTGATTAGTTGACGATATTAATTAATGATGTTTCAGAGATGAAGATATTAGTAAATTTGGTATTGAGATTTTGATTGGATGAATTAGGATTTTCTTAAGTGGCAAATGGCTAGGCGTTTTTTGTTGTTTTCTTTTCTGAGCAAGTTACACTCTGATTGTTTCCAATAAGAAAATCCGTTTAATAAACTTTCCGTTTAATTTTGTGGGTTGGGCGTTGTGTTGAGGTTTTGGTTCATCCTTCATTGTTGAGACAATTACTTAGCCTCCTTTCTGTGTTAAAGTGTATTGAGGTTATGCTTGTCTCGATATTTATTTCCATCCATTAATTGTGTCAGCTGCGATCAACAGTTTTCAGTTGATGTTCATGGGTGGAACATCCTATTGTTGCTATGTTTACTTGATAGATATTGTAGGATGTGATTGTTTTCGTTTTGATTTTAGAGCTTGACGTTGAGATAAATCTCATGGTTTCTAGTGTTTCAACATTGTCAACTAGGCTTTTCCTGTAATTGATCTTAATATTCTATACAATATTAATTGATATTGTGTTGGATGTGTATTGTTGTTGTATCCTCCCATTGTTTTTCCACTTGTATTGTTTCAACACTTGATTTTTATGTGATAATCCAAACGATAGATTGTTATGCTGACATCTAAGTTTTTCTCATCTCCCTTGTTTGTTAGGTGCTATGCTCGTCTTCATCCAAGGGCAGTGAACTGCAGGAAGAAGAAGTGTGGCCACAGCAATCAGGTACTTTTATTTTTCTTTGGATGTATTATGGTCGCTGCTTGCTTACTGCATTTGAAATTTGATTGTAGAATTGTATATGATCATGACTGTTTTGCTGGGAATCACTTTATGTTCTGAGCAACTGAAACTGCGATTTTGGTTTTTTTGCAGTTGAGGCCGAAGAAGAAGATCAAGTAGACTATCGTCCGAATATTTTTATTACTTGTCTAGACTGGAGTTTGAATTTTTGTATTTCAGTTGAAGTCATTTGCTTTGTATCGGAGTTGAATTACTGCAGTTTATATTAACATTTGATGCATCTTGGGATAATTTTGATCTCTTGGTTTATGTTTGCTTCTGTTTCATCATCCTTTTCTGATGAACTTGTTGTAGGCCTTTGTTTGTCCCTCTGTTGCCTCATCCATTTTTTCCCGCGTTTCTCATTTTTCGTCTTGTTTTCGCTGATCGACAACTTTTAGTTCTTTTGAATTGCATTCAAAAGGTACAAAGTTTCGGCTGCCGAATAATGTGGTGGTCGAATATAAGCAGAGGCGGTGGTTTGTGCGGTAGATTCTTGTGAACGCAACATGTGAGAAAAAATAATGAGTTCACGATGCTGTTTTTCAAGTGTCACTAATAAATTCTTTATTTTTTCATATTTGTCACATATGAGGAGTGTCAACAGAATAAATCTCACATTGAAAAATAAGAGATTTTACATGTGTTTAAAAGTAGTTAGGCTATCACTTGCATTCTACGGTGATAAAAGAAACGCAGGGAGAGGGAACCACCCAGGAAATAACTCCAGAGAGTTTCATTTAGTCCAGAAGCATACTTCAAGCCTCAAGCATTACCATCCAAGCAACCCTAGTAATTCCCACAGCCTTCACTTGAGCAAGTCATTATCTTGATCAATCATGCTATCTTCAAGCCGTTGATGTTACTAGAGTGTTTCCTAAGACAAGCTAACTCTTTCGAGATATTCCGGAAATTGGTACAATTCCGCACCAAGGGAGACAAGATGATGTTCTCAAAACCCAAGTCTACCTCGACCTAGAAGTTCAAGTTCCCCAACCGTGTTAAACTTTGATAATTCAATTTGATCCTAGTGTTGCAAATTGAACTAGAGCCCTATGAATATTGGAAACATATTCGCAAACTTTTATTAATTATATTACAAACCTTAAAAAACATGTTGCAAACCAGTTACATATATATATAAATATTACTAGGGGATATAATTACAAACATGGTGGAAGAGAGATTAACAACCCATCTCAATTTTTTATTGTGAGTTTATCAACCAGAGACTTGCTATCTAGTCCTTTGCTGTAAAAATTTTCCTGTAATTCTTGTTCAGTGAAGTCTCGATAGATTGGTGGTTTCTCAGGTGACAAAAGCTCCGGCAGAGGTCCATAGTAGCCACCTTCTCTCCATTTGGTTAGGCTGAAAAATATCACAATAGAGATCCGAGCTTCTTTCCAAGAGTTGGCCAACACCCTGTGTTCCACACTTTTATATTCCCCGTTGGAGATTATCTAAACCCTCACCCAAAAACACAGTAATTAAAATAAATAATCGATATAAACAAAATAGAACAAATAATGCTTATGGTGCAGATTCGATCCTCAACCATTCATTTTTCTTTTAATAACTAACAATTTAACTACTAACGTTATCATAAAAAGAAAAAATCTAACTTAGTATTATCAAATTAACTTCTTTTTGTAAAACTTAAAAAAGAAGAAGATGAAAATGAAAATTAAACTCAACATTTTCCACATGAGATTAATTTTAGGAAAACTAATGAAAATGGCTTGAAAACTTTAAGTTTTAATGATAAGGACAAAATAAAAGGTAAAATGTGATTTTTCATTAAAGTGAACAGTACTGCGGGCTTTTCGTTAAAACTCCCATTAATTTTTTATCCAAGAGAAAATAGGAAAAAATATGTTGTATCCACCACACAAATTTGTGTTTAGGTGATGTATTAGATATTCTGCAGTTAGCGATTTCATCTTCAACCTACTGCATTTCGGATTTAAACATCCCTCCACCTCTTTAGGGTAGATTAATTGATTTGGATTGTATTAAAAAAATGTATTAGATACAAATAATGCAC